CAGGTGTAGGAAGCCGAGTTTGGCAGGTGGCTCCTGCAGGCACTTAAAGTAGATAGGTTGATGTGTGACTGTAGAGTGATTGCTTTTCCAAAGTTTAATGAGAATGTGTCTGGTAGGCAGTATGAGTTTTGTTGGCACTTGAAATAAGAGAAACACCACTCAGAACCTCTTCTCACAGATGCTGACCAGAGAGGAAGCAGTGAACTCTTCAGGACTGAACAGGAGGGACTTCTCTGCCTGACAGATGAAGTAACATGACTGTCAGCAACATGACTGTGCCACCCTAGTAGCTCTGCTTTTGAATGACAGTTGTGTCTCCTTTTAAAAAAAATACTTTATTATTTTTATGTGTATGAGTGTATTGCCTGCATGTATATAAGTGTGTCCGTGTCATGCAGTGTCCATGGAGGTCAGAAGAGGGCATTGGATGCCCTGGAACTGAAGTTAGGGATGACTGTCACCTAACACTCTAATGTGGGTGCTAGAAATTGAATCTGGTTCCTCTGCAAGAGCAGCCAGTGAGCCATCTCTCCAGCCCTGACTGTTGTGTCTTTATTGACAAAATACTTAACATCCTAGCCTAAGGAACATTGTTTATGGACATGGTAAAGAGATTTGAAACTTTATACAGGTGGCCTAAGCAATTTTTCTTCCACTTGATGTACCTGAATAACATTGTTCTAGGTGTTAGAAATGGAGATCTGTGGTATTTAAGAGAAGATAACTTTTTAAAGAACATCTTTTCAGATGAAGCCAATCTCAGCCAGTTGAGGGTACACACCTTTAATCCCAGCACTCAGGAGGCAGAGACAGTCAGATCTGTTATGAGTTCAAAGCCAACCTGGTGGACTTACAGAGTTTCAGGCCAGCTAAGGACATACAGTGAGACTTTGTCTCAAAACCAACAAACAGACAAAACTCAACCAACCTAACAATCCAAGGTCTGGGTCTTCCCACCAACTACAGAACCATAGTAAGGTGGGAAGAACTGGAATATATCCAGTACCCAAATGTATCTGAGGAGGTTTTAAGCCCTGCAGAGACCAGGGGCCTTATGTGTAGGAAGAACTTTAGAAGGGGGGAGGAGAACTCCTTATCATTAGTGAGGAACAAAGACATATTTGACTTAAAATTGATAAGAGAAACAAAAGGAATCTACAAGCAATCTGGCACCTTAGGAACAAGCTAGGCCCTTCAAAGGAAGACAACTGCTATCTTAGACCTGGCCATGGTTTTAGGTATAAGAATGGGACAACTCAAAGAGTATGAGGGTATAAAACCTTCCAGAGGAAAAGACTGAGGATAACTGGTTTCTGTTGATTGGTGCCAGAAAGATAATCAAAAATTTTCAAGACCAAGAACCGGGGAAAAAAATACAAAAGGAAAAGGAGACACTGGGGTTCAGAGGTAACCTTAGAAGTGGAAGCCATTTTGGTGACAAGCATTCTACTTAATGTAGACTCTACCCCTTCTTAAGAATTTCTGCCTATGCATAGTGCCTCCATCCACAACAACTGATAGGTAGTCTAATTCTTTTCTCTTTCTAATGCACAATCAACTAGCTGACTGTTGATGTAAGAATGAGGTAGATTCTACCAATCCTGCTGCTACTGGTCCCCTGTTCTCTCCTACCTACAGTTTTATTCCACATAGAGCAACTAATGAGTGGGCACCAGGGCATCCCATTTTATCCCCACAGATTGGTATCTTGGCAGTTCAAAAGGTACAGTTCTCGGTAAGAGAGCCTATGAGCATCCAGCTGCACATGTGTGACAACCCTCCTTCCCCCATTTGAGTCGAAGGAAACAATAACATTAAGCACTCTATCTCTGAGTGACTGGTCTGACTACAGGTAGAATAGGACATTGAGGGAATGAGGCCATAGTCTTAGCCTGAGCTCATGGACTTGGTCCACCTCTCTTGAGCTGCTTTTCTCACACTGCTCTTAGGGCATGGAGCTTGTTGCAGCTTTACGGAAGAATTTAGAGCTTCACCTTCATACAGTAAATGTGATCCTTGGGCTTGTTTGGATATGCCAATAGTATGGTGGTAGTGAATGGAGACCTAAGAGTGTCACTGGTCTTCCTACCAGGTGGGCTCAGGTTTTCTTGAAATTGCACAGGAGTTTGTCAGAGATGCCATTTACTTTCCCTCTTTGAAGGATTCTCTTGAGTATGCTTTGAGGTATTTAAGTTCATCTACAAATATTACATGCCATTTTATTAGGCTTGATTGAAGAGACAACAATGTCTAGACCAGAAATATTGCTCAGCATGACCATAAGGAAACGGAGCCTCCCAGGCTTCTGAGAATTTGTTCATATGAACTTACAGCAATATTGACAGCATGCATAAGACTCATGAAAACTTAATCAGACAAAAACCCAGTGTACAACTAGGGAAATGGGCAGGAGGCCCCAGCTGATCACTCCTGAGTGAGGGAAATCTGATCTTCTTTAAGGGAGTGACACTGGATAGGCTAAACTGGTTCCAGAGAATGAACTCACACCGAGGAAATCTGGCTCCATAAACTTGACTTGATAGGCCTTAACATATATGACTTAATTCATGAAATCTGTGGGTAGGCTATAGGGGGGTGCATATAGGGGAGGGGTTCTAAATGGGGTATGAAATGTGTAAAAATTCAGGAAAAACATACATTGAAATGAAAAGAAATATTGCTCAATTCTCGGGTGGGGGTGGAGGTGGGGGGCTTAATGGACCTGGAGCCCAGGTCTGTGTGTGTGTGTGTGTGTGTGTGTGTGTGTGTGTGTGTGACAGAGACAGAGACAGAGAGACAGAGGGACACAGACAGAGAGACAGACAGATGCATGTAAGATGTGTGTAAGTGTGAGTATGCATGGAAGTTAGAGGACAACTTTCATGACTCACTTCTCACTTGCCACCATGGGTTTCAGGGATCAAACTCAGGTCATCAGGCTTGCACTGCAGGTACTTTTACCCGGTGACCCATCTCAGTGGCCCAGAGGGAAGTATGTTAAAAGATGCAATCATTTTTTCAGAGGAAATGGAGATACAACGGGTTATTTTTCTTAAAACTACATCTTATTTAGGCATACTTATTAGCATTATTCTGAATTATAACTCAAATATTAAAACAGGAATGAAGAACAGTAAAAATTACTTTTTAAAGTGAGTGAATCTAAATGAGTATAGTACTAAATTTGAGAAAAGACAAGGACTTTTATAGTTTAATGTTTAAATAGAACTAAAATACACAAGAACAATAGTATTTACATTAGGAAAAGAGTAAATGGATTTTCACTATGGAAAATTTTGTTTTGTTAGACATTGTTAAGAATACATATTATGATTTCTGGAATAGCTGCAAAGTAATAAATGCTTAAAAAACCTTTTCCAAATTAATATAAATCATAAGTAAAGCAAAATAACCCAAACAATCTAAAAGAAACCAACGAGAAGAGTAGGAGTGCTGAAGAATTGGGACTTGTGGCACATACCTTTAGTCTCAGTGCTTAGAAGGTCCTGGGCAACAAAGTAAGAAGGAATGTCAAGAAAGCAGGTTAAGGAGTGAAAGAAGAAATAGTAAGGTGGTTGGTGTGAAATTGGGAAATGTCCTTCTAAGGTTGGGGATAGAGCTTAATGGGAGAACAGTTGCTTAGCATGTGGGAGGAGGCTCTTAAGTTGAGCACCCACCACCACCACCACCACCACCACCACCACCACCACCACCACCACCAAACAACCTTCCTAAAAGTAAAAACAAAACAAAAAAGCCCCAAATCAAAACAAATTTTTGTCTCTTTAAAAACCATGCCCAGCCCTGCTTATTTGTTATTTTTATTTTTATATGTATGTGTTTTTGAGACAGGGTCTCCTTGTAGTCCCAGCTGTCCTGGAACTCACTATGTAGACCAGGCTGGCCTTGAACTCCTGAGATCTGCCTGCCTCTGCCTCCCAAGTGCTGGGATTAAAGGTGTGTGCCATTTTATGCCCAGCTATATTTTATGTGTAAGAGTGTTATGGCTGCATGTATGTAAGTGCACCCATGTCCTGCAGTACCTGTAGCAGAAGAGGGCATCAGATTCCCTGGAACTGAAGTTATAGACAACTGTTAGCCACCATGTGGGTGCTGGGATTTGAACCCTGGTCTTCTACAAGAACAGCCAGTTCTCTACTGAGTCATCTTTCCAGCCCCATAAATTTGCTTCTTAATAGAAGATGAATAGGCTAGAAAATAGCCAAAGTTAATGAACATGCTGTGGGATACCACTGATGCTATACTTAGAGATAAGTTTATACCTATTATGTTTTAATTAATGTTAAGAATCAATGATCCCTTCCAACACTTTTGAAAAATTTAACCAGACTAAAGAAGCCAGGAAAATAACTCCAGTCATCATTTCTTCAAATAAAAAATTACCTTTCAATAAACCTAACCAAAGACGTGAATGACCTTTAAAATGAGAACTTCAAAATATCTAAAAAAAGAACTGAAGAAGACAATAGAAGGTGGAATTATCGCCCAAGATCACTAATTGGGAGAGTTAATACTATGAAATTGACTATACTACTGAAAGTATACTGTAGATTCACTGTCGTCCTCATCAAATTTTATTGTCATTCTTTACAGAAATGCACAATCTTAAAATGTACATGGGAAGGAGTGGGCATGGATTTAATCAGAACACCTTATATGCATGTATGAAATTCTCAATAAATTAAATAAAAAATAATTTAAAAAATGTACATGGAAACACAAAAGACCCTGGATAGCCTCAGCAATCCTGACAAAAACAAATGCTGGAGATATCACTGTACCTGATTTGAATTATACTACAGAGTCAGAGTAACAAAAACATGGTACTGTTACAGAAACAGACCTGTAGATCAATGTAATAGAAGACTCAGTTGTTACCCCATGCAACTACAGCCTAGTTAAAAGCTTTTCAATCGTTGTTATATACCTGTTATTTTTTGCAAGATAAATTGTTGTCGTTTGTTACTTGGTTTTTCTAGGAGGAATATAGAACTGAAGGTATCAGTTGGCACAACATAGATTATATTGATAATACTTGTTGCATAAGTCTTATTAGCAAAAAACCGACAGGACTTCTCCATCTTTTGGATGAAGAAAGCAAGTGAGTATGCTTCTTTTCAATTTCATTATTGGACATTGTGCTTATTTTTTAAATTTTATTTTTATTTTATGTGTATGAGTATTGCTTGCATGTATGTAAGTACACCCATGTCCTGCAATGCCCATAGAGGTCAGAAGAGGGCATCAGAGACCCCTGAAGCTGGAGTTATAGATGATTGTTAGCCGCCATGTGGATGCTGGGAATCGAACTGGAGTCCTCTGTAAGAGCAACCGGTTCTCTTAACTGCTGAGCCATCTCTCCAGCCCCCAAAATGCTTATTTTTAAAAATGTATGTATTTATTGAATTTTTGTGCATTTCATACAAAACATTTTAATCATCATTCTACCCCCTTCTCCATCTGTACTCTCCATAGCTCCCCCACCAAATTTCATGCATTCTGTCATATATATTAAGGCCTGTCAAGTCAAGTTAGTGTCCTCAGACATTCCTCAGTGCAGACTCACATTGGTCTTCCTTCATCAAACTCCTGAGTGGTTGGATTATAGAAAGGTGCCAGCATGCCCAACTTTATGTCTAAGTTTAAATTTTCTTCTAATAACTTTAAATTAAGAGTTAAGGTTTCCTTTGTGTGCATTTGGAAAAAAATTTATACGTTAAGTAAATAAATAGATTGTACTTTACTCTTGTACTAAATTTTTCTCTTTTTCTCCAGATTCCTCTTAAATTTGATGTCATATTTCACGACATACATTTTTCTTTATTCTTGAGAATTTTATACATGTATATAATGAAATATGATGCTATCCACCCTCTATTCTCTCCACCAACTTTTCCAATATCTACCTCAACACATTCCCCTCCCAACTTCATTTCCTTCTTTTAAAATAATTACAGCCTACTAAATCTAATTAGTGCTGGATATATGCATGGAAGTAGAGATCCTCCACTGAAGCATGGGAAACCTATCACGGGCCATATCCTGACATGTATTTTTAAAATATTCTTTTCCACTATAAAATATACTGTTTTTTCCTAGATAGAGTTTGCTATATAGCCTGGGCTACCCTTGAATTTGAGATCCTCCTGCCTCTGCCTCCTGAGTGCTGGTATTGCAGGCATGCAACACCATACTCAACTTTTTAACTTTAAAAAAAATTTATGTGTATTACTGTTTTGCATTCATGTAAGTGTATCACATAAATACAATGCCCATAGAGGTTGAAAGAGGGCTCAGATCTCCCTGGAACTGGAGTTAACGATGGTTGTTAGCTGCTGTGTGGGTGCTGGGATCCAAACCCAAGTCCCCTGTGCAAGAACAGCCAGTGCTCTTAACCACTGAGCCATCTCTCCAGCCCCCATACTCAGCTCTTGAATTGATTTTATGTATGTATTCATCTTTTTATTTTACATTTTATTTTTGGGGGTGGGTGTACATGTGTGTTACGGTGGAGATCATAGGACCACTCAAGAGAGTGGGTTTTCTCCTTTCACCATGTTGTTCCTGAAGTTGTTAGGATCTATAGTTGTCAGGTTTGCCACTAGCCACCTTGACCCACTGAGTCATCTTGCCAGCCTTTGAACTGAGTTTCATATATGAGATGTGTGGTCTAATATGAATAATTAATGTCTGATATGCTTATTTTAGGTGCTTAATTTTTTTCTGTTTTCATAATGATTTATGTGTACAAGTGTTTTATTCATGTGGATGTATATGCACTACTTACGTGCTTTGCCCTCAGAAGCTAGAAGAGGGTGTTGATCCCCTGGAGTTAGGGATGGTTGTTAGCTGCCATGTGGGTTCTGGGAATTGAACTGAGTTCCTCTGCAAGAACAGCCAGTGCTTGTAACCACTGAGCAGTGTTTTCAGTCTCTACCTCCTTTTTCATTCCCCCAGTAATATAAATGTATAAGTGTTCAATATAGTACCTTTGGAGAGCCTTCTTTTCCCTTCTTTCAAGATTTGGGTTAAAGACTGTTTTCATGTCCACCCTTCTCTTTAGAAAAATTTTGTTCTCCATTTCAAAGAAAGTGAAAAATTTATCATGCACTTTTAAATTACTTTGAGGATTAGAAAGTAAACTGTAACTTACAGACAATGAGGTGAGTATCTTACTAGTAGAGAAAAGCATTTTGCTATGGAGAAGTGAGATGTAAGTTTTTAGGTATTAGGCTTTACTGAACTTGGGGGTTTGGAGTTGCTAACTCTGTCTATCTTTGTTATCCATACATTTTCTGAGTAGAGCAGCCACATAATTAAAGCACTATTAAAGGCAAATTTCTTTTTTAAAAAGATTTTTAATTGTATGTATGGGTGTGTGCCTGTGTGGGTATGTGTACATGAGTGCAGGTGTCTGCAGAGGGAAGAGGCATCTGATTCCCTGGAACTGGAGTTATAGGCAATCACCTGTATGTGGGTGCTAGAAATTGAACTTAGATCCTCTTTGAGAGCAGTAAGTACTTGAAACCCCTGAGTCATCTCTCCAGCCCTTAAAGGGAAAACAGTTTTGATAATAGGTTTTGTGACTTGAAATAAAGTAGTATTAGAATTGTAAGACTAGTATAGAAGCTGTTGTAACTTCTGCTTGAAAAATGTAACAGTTGTGATCCATTCTAGAATGACTAGTGTTTTTGGAATGAGCTTATTACGGGGAAGTTTTTTAGGACAGGATAGTATTTGAACGTAAAAGCAGATTAAAGTTACTAGGAAAATGTCAATGTCGATAATATACAAATGTGTGATAACATTTGCATAATCCCTATAGGATGCCGGGTAGTGTCAGATGCAATTGCTGGTAGTATTTGATTTTGTTAGACCAAATACCATTAGACCTGGTATTACACGCATTTTATGAATCAGAAAATCAGTTATGCAAGGTTATTCAGTTCATCTTGTTCCAAGCCACTGTCAGAACTGGTAATATAAGCCAGAATGTTATAAAACTAAGGGCCATTCGCTTTCCTGATTCTACTATATTGTATATTATTAACCATTTTTATTGTAACTTTGAATAATTTTTGCACATTATTTGGTATTTAGCAGCTTCATAACCTCATTTCACAATATTACCCATTCAGCTACTGTTAAACTATTTCAGAAAGATACAGTTGTAGGTCCTCTATTTGAAATTTCTGCTAGTTGTTTTAGTCAACTGTCTATTAACTGTGACAAAAGTATCTGGGAAAAACCAGTTAAAAGAAGGAAAGATTTGTTTGGGATCATTTTAGAGACTGCAGTCTCTGTTTCCTTGGCTTAGTTGCTTTGTGTCTGAGGCAACTCTGAATATTGTGGTGGGAGAAGTACGTGATGAGGAGGCTGCTTTCCTCATGGCATCCAAGGAGTAGAAATAGAGGAGAGAAAGGTAGGTCCCAGTGATCTGTTTCTTCCAGCTCATCCCCGTGTGTAATGGTGTGTTCAGTTGTGAATTCATTATTATCCAGTCGTTACTCAAGGCCTCACATCTGAATACTGCTATATTGAGAACTAACTCTTCAGTACATGAGTCTTCAGAAAACATTTTATATCAAAATCACAACTCTTGGCCTCTGGCTCTCAAAGGTTCAGTCTAGGTTTATAATGCAAATTAATTTGTCCACTTTCAAAGAATCCCTGTATTATTGACAGTTCCATCTTTATTCCAAAGTTCAGTTCCAGAAGGCAACTTTTAGTTGTGATCTCATAAAATTGAAAACACAAGTTGTATATACATTTAACATACAGTGGTGAGGACAGTCATAAGATAAACATTCCAATTCAAAATGGAGCAATGGGAACAAAGCAACACCTAAACCTCTTCAGGCAGCATTAAATTTTGTAGATCCCTGTCTATCACTCAAGGCACAAGGTGGTGTAATCTGAATTCGAATGGGCTTGTGGAGCTTCACCTCTATCACTTTGTTGTTTCCAGCTCTTGGAGCAACTCTGAGAGTGGTTGCTTACGGCATTCCTTTGAGGTGTTCCACGTTTGTGTTCTTGGCATCTCAGACTTCTTGGGGTCTTCATTGCAACTTGGCCTACTCCCACAGCTTTATGTTCCTGTTTTCTGGGTTTCTGACCCTGTATACCCTGACTGGCCTCCCTAACCTTCCTCTAAAATCTTGCAGAAGTCTTCACAATCTTACAACCCTTGTATGTTGCATGTGTGTAAAACCTGCATCGCCTAGATGATGATAAGGTCTGCTGCTGGTGGAAACTGAACAGTGGGGCCCACTTATTCTTGGCTGCAGTAACTTCTTGAGGGCCTGGACAGCCTACCATGGGCAAATGAATTTTTAAAAAATTTTTCATTTATTGTGCACAAAATTATTGGTTTATTTTGCTTTATTTTGGCATGCCTAATTAAAATACACATGCAGATTTATAAATAAGGATATTTTGAAAGTACATTCAAAGGCCTTATAAATTCGGGTACCCTAAATTTCCTTAAATTTATTGGACAATGTTTCTAGGCCTATTAAGTGTTTCACCAAACCTTTTTTTTTTTTTAAACTTTTAAAAGAAACAGTATTGAGAATTTCGTACATGCATGTAAGGTGTTTTGATCAAATCCATGCCCACTCTCTCCCCTTTCCCCATCGCTTTTTTCTGACAACTTTGTGTTCTCTCTCTCTCTCTCTCTCTCTCTCTCTCTGGCTTTTTGCTGCTTTAACATTACTCCTCTAAAGAGGTAACCCTAAAATTTTTTAGGGATTAGATAACTCCCAAATACTTTTGTGATTTTTGGCCTTTGGAACAGAGTATGTTGCTAAAAGGCCCAAGGACATCAAGGACATTTTGACATTTAGCCAAGAAATGGGCTGCTTTTTTTGGGGTCTTTTTTTACCCTAACTGCCTAGCCAATTCCTACCTCCTGTTCTTATCACACCATTCTCTGAATGAGGTTACCCAAATTGCTGATTGGGAATCGGGATGCAGACTGTTCTGGCTTCTTCCATGCTGAATAGGGGACACAGGATGAGGCAATTGGGGTACCCCTTCAGTGGGTCTATCTAAAAGACTCCACAGTCTGTTAGAAAAGTAGGTGTATGCCACTAAATTGCATAACTCTTATCTGTAGGGAGAAAAGAAAGTCCTTAACTGGTGAATAGGGGATGTGAGGAGAAGTAAAGCCAAGAGTAGTTAGTATTACAAGTTCTAGACTGAGAACCAGAAAAAAGTCAGAACAGGGCACATTTCAAATGGTATTATCAGAGTCCATTGGGATTTCTTGATGAGAGCTTCCAAAAGCATCCCTCTATTGGGTTCCTCCTCATTTTGCTTTTGTTTACCAAGGTTGGACTTGAGAGTGATAGATTCAGGATTTGCTTTCAGGTATTTTGATAGCACCACGTGGAGGCAGGATCTGGGTGCTCTCAGGTAGTACCCTGCGTTCTCAGCCCCTGTGCCAGAGGGAGGCCGGAACATGGCACTTTCTGGTGATTTGCTGAGATCACAGCTCCTACACTGATGGAGGTCAGAGCCTATCCTCTCAGGCTGTCTGCTAGGATTTTAGCCTTAGCCTACCAAAACCAGGTCTGCCCGGAAAATGAATCTTAAGGAGATAGTTTTCTTGGAGACCGTGTTTCAATAAGGGACCAGTTGCTCTTCTCAAATTGAAAGTTTTGTGCTTTTACACTGTGGAGCCTGTAGTGGTTTGAGATCGGCCAATTCCCGAGATTTGCTGTTAACACTGTGCAAACCACTGGGTTTTCTTCCATGGTACTCATCTCAGCAGCCAAATACTCCATCACTACAACTTAAAATATACTTTAAAAAACTTATTATTTTTATTTTATGTGTATTGCCTGCAGGTAGGTAGGTGCACTGTATTGTGTAGTGCTCACGGAGGTCAGAAAAGGATATATTATCTGCATGTAGGTAGGTGCACCTGTGTTGTACAGTGCTCATCGAGGTCAGAAGAGGGTGTTGGATCCCTTGGAACTGGAGTTATAGATGGTTGTTAGTTGCCACGTGGATGTTAGAAATCAAACCCAGGTCCTCTGCAAGAGCATCCACTGCTCTTAACCACTGAGCTGTCTCTCTAGCCCCTAAATATGCTCTTTTTTTTAAAAAACCAAATTGCAAGTTCATCAAATCTTTCTCTGTGTTTTTCTCATACTGATTCTCACAGTAAATCTGGCTAAAAGTAGCCAGTAGTACCCATGCTACAACCTTAATCCTTCCCTACCAGATTACTTAGTCCATTGTCTTTAAATTTAGCCTTACTGAAAGCTTCAGGGCCTTGACAAAATGTAGAAGCATTCTTTGCTAAATTGTAACAAAATTGTTTAGTTCCTTTCCCAGGAAACCCTTCATTTCCATGGGAAACGTCCTCCCGTGTTGTTAGATGTTCCCACTAGAATCATCCAGTAAGCTCTGCTTAAGCATTCTAAGGTGCTTTTCTTCCTGGTTTCTTGGAATTTCCCCAAATTCCTTCAAAAGAACCACTTTCAAAGGTTTCTGAACCACATGGTCATAGTCTTAACAATGACCCCTCTTTTGGGTGCTAATTTTCTGTGCTAGTCCACATTAAAAACATATTTTTTATTTATATGTATATATGTGAGTCTCTCTCTCTCTCTCTCTCTCTCTCTCTCTCTCTCTCTCTCTCTTACATGTATGTAAACCATTGACAAAATACACAAGAAGAAAAGGATTTATTTTGGAACACAAACACTAACTCTTGACATCTAACTCGTATTTGTCTTATTTATATATATACTCTGAACCTTCCAATTTTTGTCAATTTTTTGTTTTGAATGTTTATATTCCTATAGTTTCTATTACACAGTTTTTTGTTAATAAGTTACTGAGATGGGATCTTTCTATGTAGTCCAGGATAGCCTGGAACTTGCTTTGTAGCCCAGGTTAGCCTTAAACTCATAGCAGTTCTCTCACCTCAGCCCCCTAAGTGCTGAGATTACAAGCTATCGTTAATTTTGAGTAGCTACTACTTGTGATTCCTGGATATATAGTGCAGTCATTCAGTATGAACCCACTCGGTATATTTGAAATAGTAGTAGATAACATACAGAAACACATAGTAATTGGTATAGGTAAGAAAATTACTACCTACTTATGTGTGAGAAAATAAGAAAGCAAAGAATGCATATGGACTTTAAGCACCTATTAAGGAATAAGATACTGTTTTATTCTTGGAAATTATTGGCGCCAAAGAATATATGATTTGGGTTTTATTTTCCTTTGGGTTATATGGTATTGTTGCACAGGATAACTTAGATTAAATACCAAGTAACTTGAGTTAATTTCTCAGGCTAACTGTAAAGTATGATCCCTCACCTATGAAGTAGGAACCCCAGTCCTCATCATACTTTAGCTTGTTAAAAAGAATCTGATTAAAGAGCTGGGCGTGGTGGCACATGCCTATAGTCCTAGCACTTGGGAGGCAGAGGCAGGTGGATCTCTGTGAGTTCAAGGCCAGCCTGGTCTACATAGTGAGTTCCAGGACAGCTGGGGCTACAGGGAGACCCTGCTTCAAAAAACAAAAAAACAAAGAATCTGATTAAAAACTATAGGTAAAAATTCTTTGCAAACTGTATAATATGTTAGACAGCAATGTAATTATATGTACTTTTGTATTTAATATAACTTTGTATTGTATTATTTAATACAATATAAAGTTGAATGACATCTTTCTCATATTTATTTCCTTTTTTTCCTTCCAAATTTAGTTTTCCACAGGCTACAAATCAAACACTGCTAGACAAGTTTAAACATCAACATGAAGAGAATTCTTACATTGAATTTCCAGCTGTGATGGAACCTGCTTTTATCATAAAGCATTATGCTGGAAAAGTAAAATATGGAGTAAAGGTCAGTAAATTTTTTACTTAAAATGCTTTTAGTGCAGGGGTAATTTTTTTTTAAAAAGAATATCTTTTATTCTTTGACAGTTTCATCCATGTAAGCAATGTATCTTGGTTATAGCTCTCATGTGTTTTTCCCCCAGAGGTGATTTTGACTATGTTAGTTTTCTAGTTACTTTCTACCGCTTTGATAAAAACACTGTCCAAAATCAGCATGGGGAGGAAAAGGTTTATTTGGCTTACAGCTCACAGTCCATCATCAAAGGATGCCAAGGCAGGAGTTCAGGGCAGGAACCTGGAACACAGACCATGGAGGTATGCTGTTACTTGCTTGCTCATCTGGCTCATGCTCAGCCTGCTTTATACAACACAGGGCCACCAGCCCAGGATTCCTCCCACCCACAGTGGGCTGGGCCCTCCCATATTATTTAACATTTAAGAAAATACCCTATAAACCAATCCAATGGAGGTTCCCTCCACCCAGGTGTGTCAAGTTGACAACTGATGATATCCCAGCACAGTTAGCATCTCTGGCACACTACTTTTTGCAGTTTTTGAATGTTCTTGATTAGTAGCCTTTTAAGTTACTGTCTAGCATGTGTAAGGCTCCAAGTTCTATTGTTAGCGCTGCAGAAGATAAAACAGAAAAGCAGCTGCAGACAGGTCTACCATTGTACTTGTAGATCTCACACATACCTATTACCAGGGCACATACACAAATCAGTAAAACAGAAAAACTGAGCCGCTCTATAAATTATCCTAATTGCATATCATGAGGACAACTCAACAATTGTTGAGTATTTAGAAATTAAGCAAAACTCTTCTGATTATTTTATTAAAGCATATTTTCTTCTGAAAAGAAATGCAGTATTAGAATTTGTAGAATACATGTAAATCATTTAATACAAATTATTGATAGGAAATTAGGATGAAAAGTTGAAATGGAATTCCATCAGATTTCATCTCAAGAAACACGGAAAAGAATAGCAAAGTGAACCCAACCAAAAAAATTAGAAAGAAGGACATTATAAATATCAGAAATCAGTACAATAAAAAGAACATATAAAGAAATCAACAAAGCATAATGTTAGTTCCTGGAAAAGATACCACAATAGGTAAATAAAAGATACTAGAAAAGTAACTGATAATAGAAAATATTATCAAGAATAAAAATAGTACTTTACTAAAAATTCTATAGCTATTAAAATGGTATCAGTATATATATTTTTAATATTTTTATTTCATGTGTATGCATGTATTGCCTCCATGTAGATAAGTGCACCCATGTCGTGCAGTGCCCGTGGAGGACAGAAGAGGTAGTCGGATCCCCTGGAACTGAGTTAGGGACAGTTGTTAGCTGCCATGTTGGTGCTGGGATTTGAACCTGGGCCTTCTGCATGAACAGCCAGTGTTCTTAATTGCTGAGCTATCTCTCCAGCCGTGGTATCAGTATATTTTGTCAACAAATTGACATCATAGATAAAATGCCTGAATAGCTTTTAGCACAGTTTACTGAAAAGTAGGAAAACCTGAAAAATCCTTATATGTTAAATAATTTGAATCGGTGGATTTAAGCTTTCATACAAAAACTTAATTGCTACTATTCTTACATATTCTTTTTCAAATTAGAGATACTTTTAAAATATGTAAATGGATCTCAGATAAAACAAGTACAATCTGAATTTGGAATACATATTGGGCCTTATGTAGATAGTATTTAAAGCCAAGACTATAGTTTAGATTACCTAATATAAGAGAATTACATGAAAAAAATTAGAGCACATAAAAACAACATCTGGAATTTTCATATGAATTAGCAGTGGGGTCTGAGAAGAGTTACACAGCGTATAAGTAGAGAAACAGAGTTTCAAAATGATGTGTTCAGTTTATAAGGTCCTTAGAAATCTCAAGGTATGAAAATAGAACATTTGGAAAATGCAGGTCATTTGTCAGCCTGACAAAAATCATGGAAAAGAATTTTAGAATTTGAAGTTGTACAGTGTATTTATCAATAGAATGAAATCATCATTGGAGTAGAGCAGACTAATATTTAGGTAGACTGTCTTTTTGACTTTTAGCAAGTTGCTTTAACTTACTAATCATCATCGGTAAATTATAGTGTATGATTAAATGTTGTGCTGACTGATTTTGTTCAGTTTCCTCTTCTTTTTTATTTTACTTTTTAAAAATATTTTATTATTTTTATTTTGTGTGTATGTGTGTATTGCCTGCATGTAGGTAAGTTCACCTGTGTTGTGCAGTGCCCACGGAGGACATAAGAGACTCTTGGATCCCCTGGAACTGGAGTTACGGACAGTCGTTAGCTGCCTTGTGGGTGCTGGGATTCGAACCTGGGTCTTCTGCAAGAACAGTCAGTGTTCTTAACTGCTGTGCTATCTCTCCAGCCCCTTATTTTACTTATTATTTTATGTATATGGGTGTATTGCCTACATGTATGTAAGTGCACCTGTGTTGTGCAATACCTGTGGAAGTCAAAAGAGGATTTCATGGAACTGGAGTTAGAGATGGTTGTTAGCCACCATGTGGGTGCTAGGAACTGAACCCAGGTCCTCTGCAAGAGCAGCCGTTGCTCTAACTGCTAAGTCATCTGTCCAGCCCCTCAGTTTCTTCTTCTGTAAAATAGAAATATCACCTGTCTCAAATGGTTGAATTAAATGAGACCATACATACTAACATAAAGTGTTTACAAGAAAGCCAGGCAGGGGGCTAGAAGGATGACTCAGAGGATAAGAGCACTTACTACTCTTCCAGAGGACCTGCGCCCATGTGGTGGCTAACAACTCTCAACATTAGTTCCAGGAGATCCAGCATCCTCTTCTGATCTCTGTAGACATTTGGCAAAATACTCACATAAAATACAAATAAATAAAATATTTTTTACAAAGGGGCTGGAGAGACCAATGTTCCAGCCTTTTGAGACCCCCCCCTTGCCAACACCCCTGTCCAGCAGGAAGTAGCTAAAGAAAGATCACCCTTAAGCCGGGCGCGGTGGTGCATGCCTTTGATCCTAGCACTCAGGAGGCAGAGGCAGGCAGATCTCTGTGAGTTTGGGGCCAGCCTAGTCTACATTGTGAATCCAGGCCAGCTGGGGCTACAGGGAAACCCTGTTTCAAAAAGACGAAAAAATAAAAGATCACCCTCAACCCTTATCATCAACAAAAGGCTGGAATGTTAGGTTCCTGGGAGGCTCTTAAAATGACAGTGGGACTTGCATATTCTACAACTACGGGTTCGGATTTAGCCCCAAGCAAGTCCCGTTGCTTACTGGAGGACCAACCAATCCTGAGCTGAACTGCCTAGCCTATGTCATGGAAAGTCACCCAACCACCTGGCTGTCTATATGTCTGACTTCCCCTGCTCACTGCTGTTTCTCTGCTGCTCTTTCCCTGTGGCAGCCCAGTGGTTTGTTTGCTCTCAAATAAATTGCTGCCACTGCCCCCTGCAAAAGGACTGGAAGGGCTGGGGAGATGGCTCAGTTGTTAAGAGCAGTGGTTGCTCTTGCAGAGGACCTGGATTCGATTCCCAGCACCCACATGGTGGCTAATAACTGTCAGTAACTCCAGTTCCAGGGGAGACAGTGCCCTCTTCTGACCTCTGTGGACTCTGCAGGTCATGGGTACATTTACATACATGCAGGCAATACACTCATACACATAAAATAAAATAATAAAAATTAAAATTATTTTTTCAAAAAGCTGTGCTATAGTGACTTCTAATTTTATGTTCCCTATTTTTTTTATTATAATTCTTACCATCTCAAACTTCACTTAGACAAAAATTATCTCCCAAATCTTATTTCCTATCCTTTGGCATGTTTCTCCTAGTCTTCTCCATATCAGTGTATCTTCAGTCTCTTGTTTACTTAAACCCCAAATAAGCTTCTCAACCTAATTCCCTCATTTTCTCACCACATCTAATCTGTCTTCAAGTCCTTTGCCTTTAGCTCCTGATCAGTGTCCATCTATGATAAGTATTTTCCATTCCTTCTGTTGTCAGCTACATAGTGTAAGTCACTCTCAGCTTTTATTTGGTTATTACAATATCCTTCTTTCTTCCTTCTTCTGTACTATTCATTTTCTATGCAACAACAGGTGTTTGTTTATGACACCATACTGTTCAGTGCCTATGCTGCAGTAGATGTTATGAAACACCCATAGGTTCCTCTCATCACCTTTCCAATGTCTGTCTTTTATAGCTCAATCAAAGAAATAAACTCAGGCTTCTGGACCTGAAAAATACTATTTGCCTACTTTTCCACCAGTCTTACCTTCTTCACTCTGTTCTGTCATTGGTTGTAGTACTTCTACAGAGTACTACACCACAGAGCTCACCACAGAGAAAGTGAAGTGTTCCTTTGCCTGATCTCATGGCTCCCTTTTGTTTTCCAGCTTTCTTATCACTTTATTAAATCTGTTTAATAAAAGCTAATAGTCCACAATCAAATTATGGAATATTTGCTCTAATTTACATTTACTATAGCATTTAGTAGTTTTAGAATTGGCTGACACTTTATAGAAGGTACCCAGTTCATTTATTAGAAGGTACCTGGTTCAGTTAGCTACCCAGAATAGAAGTCACTTCCGTCATCTTTTTTTACTCACTTCAAACTTGGCCACCTATCATCTTGATTATAATAGCTTTTCCCCCCACAAATAACAGTGGTATTTTTTTCATATAGGATTTTCGAGAAAAAAATACAGATCATATGCGGCCAGACATTGTAGCTCTTCTGAGAAGTAGCAAGAGTGCCTTTATTTCTGGGATGATTGGAATTGATCCTGTGGCTGTTTTCCGATGGGCAGTTATCCGAGCTTTTTTCAGAGCAATGGTTGGTTTCAGGGAAGCTGGGAAAAGACACATTCAGAGAAAAAGTGGTAAGTTGTAGTTACTAGTATTTTGCCATGATTATTTTGTTTTGTTTTCATACTATGCTTCATATTCTGTATCTGATAAATTGTGTATACTTTAGGTGATTAAGTGTATATCTGTAGGTCTTACCTGCATATATATTTGCATATATGCAGGTATGTTGCTGTATTTTCATTAATACATTTTTAAAAGTTAGTTTATTTTTATTTTTATATGTGAATGTTTTTCCTGCATTTATGTAAGTATACCCATGCATTCAGTGCTCTCGGGGGCCAGAAGATGTCATCAGATCCCCTGGAACTGTTGTTACAGACTGTTTTTTGCTGCCATGTAGGTGCTGGAAACTGTACCCTGGTCCTCTGCAAGAACAGCCAGTGCTCTTAATCCCCGAGTCATCTTTTCAGCCCTTTCATGAATAAGTATTGATAGGATTAATGAGTATAAAGCATGTTGTAGTAGGCAATGAATAAACCATTGTGATATTGAACAGAAATCCTAGTTGATAATGATCACATGATAGTTTAGAATTTAATTTTAATGTTTTTCTCCATTTTGTACTGTATAATTTTTCCTATAAATGCAACCATAATTTAATCTGAAAATGGAAATTGGAAAAATTGAGGTAGGATAGAGTAATATATATCTGTATCTATCTGTGTGCCTATCATCTCTCTCTGTCTGTCATCTATTTGTCTATCTAATCATCTACTTATGTAGAGGAATCCCCTGCCCCAGTGTCATCTTGCCCCTTGACTAATTTTGTAACTTTTCTTTCCTGTGAAGAACTATTATTGGGGTCTGGAGAGATGGCTTAGCAGTTAAGAGCATTAGTTGCTCTCGCAGAGGACCTGGGTTCAGTTTCCAGCACCTACATGATGGCTAACAACTGTCCCTACTTCCAGTTCCAGGGGATCCGACGCCCTCTTCTGACCTCTGAGGGCATTGCATGACATAGGTACACCTACCTACATGTAGGTGTTACACTCATACACGAAAAATAAAATAAAAGCTGGGTGTGGTGGTTTACGCCTTTAATCCCAGCACTTGGGAGAGAGGCAGGCAGATCTCTGTGAGTTCAAGGCCAGCCTGGTCTACATAGTGAGTTCCAGGACAGCAGGGGCTGCAGGGAGACCCTGTTTCAAAAAGACCCCCCCCAAAAGAAAATAAAAAATAAATAAAATATATTCTTAACCTTTACTGACTTTATTGAGGGTTTTTTTTTTTGCCATTAAAAAATGTTTTATTTACACACTATTTTAGCAATCTTATGAAGACCATGCCTGCCTGGGGTACAGTGTGAGTGAGAAAGTGAAGATTTATTACTCTATCAGGGAATTAAATATCTCTCAGAAGACAGTTTTCATCTAGAACAGGAATTCTTTTGTTTTTTTTTGTGAGAGAAATATAGAAAAATTTTATTGCATGAGTTAGAAATTCTTTATCAAAGTAACTATAAAGTGTAGAAATTAGAATATATTGAAATTTAAAAGTTCTGCTGACTGACTTTATTGAGTTTTTAGTTTGAAAGTTAGAAATAAGTCTTTTTGGTGCCTCCTCCTTAAGACATCAAACATTCCACTTCACATGTTGTGTGAGAGCAATTCCCATTTGTGGCTTTCTTGAATGTGCAGCAGTGATTTGTATATCTGTAGGTCTTAGTCTATTACTGTAGAGTTAGAATTTTCTGATGTATATGCAGTTGAGCCATACCTTTCAGTAGAATTACAATAGTGTACTTTGCTCTTCTGTGACTCCCAGACTGATTCATATGGCTTTTGTGATATGCACTAGCAGTATACCTTTAAAGTGAACTTTTAAACATTGGAAATGAATAAACTATTTTTGATCTTATATATATAAAATGAAAAGCCAAGTAATTAGATTTAGGTTCTGATTTTTAGATTATAATGTGTGTGAACTGGTACTTGAAAACATGCAGATTTTCAGTTTATTGGAGAAATAAAAGAACTGCTTCAACCTTTGCCTTTTACAAAGTGATTTATAAGAAGTGAATTTTTTTTTTCTTTCTTTGAAGAAACTTTTAGGGAATTTTTTTCCCTTTAAGATATTTAGTTTAGGAAGGGGCTGGAGAGATGGTTGAGCAGTTACGAGCACTGCAGCTCTTGCTGAGGACCTGGTTTATGTTCCAGCATCCACATGGTGACTAACAACTCTCTGTAACTGCAGTTTGGGGGGATCCAGTGCCGCCTTCTGGCCTCCGTGTGCACTGAATGCACATAGTACACATACCTGTGAGCAAAATACTGATACACATAAAAATAAAAATAATAATTAAAAAATGTAGTTTTTGGCTTTTTGAGACAGGGTCTTCCTTTAGCCCCAGCTGGCCTGGAGCTGCCTCCCGTGTGCCGGGATTAAAGGTGTGTGCCACCATTCCTGATCTAAAATGTTTTTTTAAAAAAGATACGTAGTTTAATGAACAGGAAGAGAAAGGAATGAAGTAAAATCAACAAAGCCACAGAGACCTATTGGACTCAAGTGTATCCGTGTTTGGGAGTCCAGAAGGAAAGCAGAGAAAGTATCAGAAACAGTTTTTGAAGTCATGGCTATATGTTCTCATATTTGACATATTAATCCACACATGCTTAAACTCTCTAGAGATGGACTAGCCAGATGGCCCAGTGGGTAAACCTACCAAGCCTCATGACCTGAGTTTGTTCTCTTGAGACCCACTTGGTAGAAGAACCAATTCCTGCAAGCTGTCCTCTGACCTTGACAGATCATGACACATGTACGCCTCCTCTCCCTCTTCTCCCTCCCCCAAATGTAGTAAAAAAAAAAAAAAAAAAAAAAAAAAAAATGCCCTAAGACAGAGACTATGAAAAGTGACACTAGAAAAGTGATGCATCCTGTTTAGGACCTCAACTAATATTAACAAATGACTTCTCATCAGACATCATTGAAGTAAAAGGTAGTGAGAGGGTATATTTAAAATGTTGAAGGAAAAAAGACTTAATAAATAATTCTGTCTCTATCAAAAATATATTCCGTATTCTAGGGAAATAAATCCTAAGTGACTTGCTTACTAGGAGACCTGCCTCCATTGGAAATATCATAGGAAGTTCCTTTGGGTCAAATGAAAAGATAATCAATAGTAACTTGAGTATACATGAAGAAATAAAGAGCACCATTGTAGGTAACAACAAAAAGTTTGAATAAATATAATTTTCATACTTTTCCAACACTTAGTTTTGAAACACAGTTGTTTATAATAATAGTTATAATTCTTTGCTGATGGTCATACTGTTTAAAAGATAGAATTTGTTTGACAGTAACAGTGTAAGAAAGATAGGGGCTGCTTTTTATTTGTTATTTGTATTAGTTACTTTTCTGTTGCTATGATATAACACCAAGACCAAAAGTTGCTTATAGTTCCAGAGGGATAAGAGCCATCATAGAGGGGAGGTGTGGCAACAAGCAGCAGTCATGGCAGCAGGAACTGTAAGTTGAGATCTCACATCTCTATCCATAAACAGGAAGCGTAGAGAGGGAACTAGAAGTAGAGTGAGTCTATGAATTCTCAAAGCCTGCTACCTAGTGACATACTTCCTCCAGCCAGGGCCACAGCTCTTAAAGATTTCATGACACCCCCCCCCAAACAGTACCACCAATCAGGACCAAGTGTGCAAATACTTGAGCCAATGTATTTCTCAAGTATTTCTCATTCAAACTATTAAACTAGTGAAGTTAAGTTCATTTTTATTCAGACTGGATTGCTATAAATTACTATCTTAATTATAGTTCTGTTAACTGTTAGGTAAATAACTAAAAAAAATTAACTGTTTAATACAAAGCAGAGTAGTAATGAAGGAAAAAAGGAACGAAAATGCCTCAATATCTAGAAAATAAATAACACCCCTTCACAAGTGGATCAAGAAAGAAATCACAAGGAAAATTAGAAAACACCTTGGGCTACAGATACTAGCAAGCAAACATAGTCCATATGAATCCCTACTTGATTAGTTTATGGCCTGCCAGACTTTGTATGTGGGCCAAAGGACATAGAAGAAGCTTCATCTAAAAATGAGTCAGGAAGGGTCATGCTGCCAGTACTTTTACACACTCTCAGGAAAAAACAAATAGTACTCTACCACTTATAAGGATATAGCTCAAATAGTGCTCACCAAGAGGTTATAGTTTCAAAACACCCATGTCACAGAACAAGATCTCAAGTCAATAATCCAATGTTCCGCTGAACTTTCTAAGGGGAGTTGGGTAAGGAATAAACCCAACACAAGCCAAAGGGAGGGCATTGTAGATTAGAATGGAAGTAAATGAACACAGAATAGAGAGCACTAGTATAAGCAAAACCAGAAATTCTCTGCAAAGATAAGCAAAATTGACAAGCCTGGAACTAGACTGGCCACAAAATACAAGACTCAAAATTACTAATTTGAATAATGAAAGGAAGGGACATTCTCCTGACCTCATGGAAGTGAAAAAAGATTGCTTATATGATTAAAAGGAACAAGTTAGAGAGCATTTGAAATGGAAAAAATTTGTAAAAAAGAATAACAGATACTCCTAAAGAGAACAGAAAAATCGAATAGGCCTGTAACAAAGAAATTGTATTAGTAATAACAAAAAACTTGTGGCAAAATAAAAAAGGACCAAATACTAGTGAATTCTAGTAAAAACTTGAAGAACTAATATGAGGGAATAATTTCCATTTCATTGAGGCCCCATTACTCACAAATACCAGGTAGAACAGCATAAAATAAGAATAACACACACACATGTCCCCTATGAATATGGCTGCAAAAATCTTTTAGGAAAACACTAGCAAACTAAACCCAGTGGTAGATAGAGTAGTATACACTGTGATCTAGTGGGATTTACTTGGGAATGAAATTTGTTCAACTTACAGAAATTAGTCAGTGTAATCATATTAATAAAATAAAAGCCAACACACTTTTTAAATTAAATTTTGGTAAAATACTTAAAAACTATGAATTAATCCCATCCTGACAAGAGGGTCTATGAAAAATGTAAGGTTAAATAACATCGTAATGTTAAAAGAATTGTGGGCCCTCCCCACCCGCACCAAATTCAGGAACAAGACATGTATGTATGTCCATTTTCCTTCTATTCAACATTATTCTGTAAGTACTGACTGGCATAACTGTGCAAAAAAAAAAGAAAAAATATTAAAACATTCAACTTTTATTTTTATAATTTTGTTCTGTTGTTCTTTTGTCTTATTTCATAGACAGACGTCTTGTTCTGTAGCCCTGGCTGGTCTCAAATTCACTACATAGACTGTAGCCATGGAATTTGTAGCAGTTCTCTAACCCCAGCCTTCTATAGTCTGGGAAACATCTAGAATTTTATCATGTGTATGTATGTGTGTTTGTGTGTGTGTGTTCCGCTGGGGCTTGAACCCATGGCGTGCACATGCTGAGTAAGTACTCTGTCAGTGAAATACATCCCTAATTGACACCTAGAATTATCTCTTACAGATACTATAAATATGTTTATGCACATGCTAATACTAGTAAGGTTGATAAGGTTACAGAGTACAAGATCAAAATACAAAAGTAAGTTATATTTTTATACAGTAACATTGGCAGCCTAAAGATGAAATGTAGTTCAAATTCCATTTATAAGAACATCAGTAAGAATTAAATTTGTGGATAAACAAAGGAATTGTAAGACTTGCATATTGAAGCCAGGAGTGGTGGCACATGCTTTTAATCTCAGCAGAGTCAGGTGGATCTCTGAGATCAAGGCCAGCCTGGTCTACATACGGAGTTCTATGTTTGCTAGGGGCTACAGGGAGACCCTGTCTCAAAAAAACAAAACAAAACTTGTACATTGAAAACTACAAAACATTTTTGAAAATAATTAATGCATGAATAGACATCCTATGTTTATACATCAGAAAACAATCTTAAGATGAAAATAGACTGAATTTACTGTAGAGGCTATGAAAAACTTCAATTCTCTTTATTCAAAAATTAATAACCTATTCTAAAATTGATGTGAAAAACAATCCAAGAGTGTGAGAACAACTTGGAGGACTTGAATGTCCCAATTTGGGTTAAATAATGGATTCTCTTACATGATACCCAAAGAAGACAGAAGTGGAACCCCCACCCCCACCCTGCCCAGCCTCCAAAGGATGATACTAAAAAAGTGAAATTAGAGTCTGTAGACTTGTAAAAACTTTTTGGAAAATCATGTACCTTGTAAAGAACTGCTGTTTAGCTGAGCATGTAATCCCTGAGCCTGTAATCCCTGCTCTCAGGAGGCTGATGTAGAAGGATAATAAATTCAAAGTCAGTCTGGGTGTCACAGAGTCCATCCTCCAGAACAAAAACAGCTGCTCACACTTGTAATCCCACCACTTGGGAAGCAGAGACAGGAGGATATTTGCAAGTTTGAGGGCATTGAGTTCCAGGCCAGCCAGGAGACTGTCCCAGCAGCAGCAGCACTAGCAGCAACAACAACAACAACAACAACGGACCATTGAGATGACTCAGCAGGTAAAGGTATATGCTGCTTTAGTCTGGCAACATAAATTTGATCCCTGGAACTCAGGTGAAGGTGGTAGCATAGAACTGATTCCACAAAATTGTCTTCTGACCTGCACATTCACACAATGGTACATGGAATCACACACACATACAAATAATAAATTTAAAACAAACTGACACCTAGAATACATACAGAACTATACTACTCATTTACAAGAGATAAGTAACAATTAAAAACGGGCAAAGGATATCAAGACACTTCTCAGTAGAGATCTGCAAATACCCATTAAACACACCAACTCATTACATTTGTCATCAGGGAAATGTAGGTAGGAGCCACATTGAGACACCACTTGACATCTTCTGGAATGGCTATGATAAAAAGACAGTAACAAATTTTGATGAGAATATGGGGACGATTGGAAGCCTTAGATATTTATTAGGATTGTAGAAGGTTTCAGCTATTTTGTTAAACAGCCTGGCAATTCTTTAAGTTAAGTTTAAGTCCCTGAGGCAGGATTGCTTCTGCCTCCTAGAGTCCTGGGTTGGATTAAAAGTGTGCACCATAACATCCAGCCCAAGCCTGCTATTTCTCTGTATCAGTTGTTTGAATATAAGATTACACTTTCTCTGCTAAATGTAGATGTTATTCTCTGAATTTGGATATCTAGTTTAGGGAATTATATTGAGATGAAAAAATATTCATCAAAGGCTTTTGAAGTAGTCTTCCTCTGCCTGAATTTTAAAATGGCTGTCTTGGGGCCTGGAGACTTGACTCAGCAGTTAAGAGCATTGGCTGCTCTTGAGGACCCAGGTTTGATACCCAGCACCAAATCCAGGGGCTCCTACACCTTCTGAACTCCTTGGGCATTGCATGACACAGGTGCACTTACGCACATGCAGGCAATACATGCGTTGAAGTAGTCTTCCTCTGCCTGAATTTTAAAATGGCTGTCTTGGGGCCTGGAGACTTGACTCAGCAGTTAAGAGCATTGGCTGCTCTTGAGGACCCAGGTTTGATACCCAGCACCAAATCCAGGGGCTCCTACACCTTCTGAACTCCTTGGGCATTGCATGACACAGGTGCACTTACGCACATGCAGGCAATACATGCGTACTCATAAAAGTAATAAAATATATTTTTTTTAATGATGTCATGGGAGCTGAAGGAATGGCTCAGCAGTTAAGAGCACTGGCTGCTCCTGAGGAGGACTCACGTTCAATTCTCAGAACCCACATTGTGGCTAATAACCATCCATAACTCCAGTTCCAGGGCATCCAAGACCCTTTTCTGTCCTCCATGGGCATTGCATGACATGGGTGCATTTACATACATGTAGGCATAACACTCATACACATTAAATAAAAGTTAGAAAACAAATGGAACAAGTTCCTGCCAGGTACATGTCAAGTGGGTATGCCCATTACTAGCTAGGATAGGTGTGGGGATATGAGGCCATGTCAGGCAAAAGGTTATTTCAGTCCAGAACTTGAACTTTTGGTAGAATTCTAATCACTGGAAAAGAAGAAAAAATCTCTTCCTGCAACAAGGAGATGGCACATGAGTTCAAAGGTAAAGTCTGTGCGTTCATGTTCATAGCAGCATTGTTTCACAATAGCCAACATGCAGAAACAAGCCAGGTGTTCATGCCTTCTATGCTATATACATATTATAATTTTTTTAAAAATTAAATAAGGGGCTGGAGAGATGATTCAGCAGTTAAGAACATTAGCTGCTCTTGCTGAGGACCTGGTTTTGTTCCAGCATCCACATGGCAACTAATAATCCTATGAAATTCCAGTTCTAGGGGATCCAATGCCTTCTTGTGGCCTCCATTGGCGTTGCACAAAATGAGTGCACTTAACATAGATGCATGCAAAATACTCATATACATAAAATCAAAGTAAAAAATTAAAATGGTTCTATCTTGAGAAATATTTTTAGGTTATTGCATTGTATACCATTCATTTTTGTTTTTTTGTTTTGATTTATTTTTAGGTGTAGGAGTGTCACGCCTTCATGTGTATAAGTGCACCTATGTCACGCAGTACCCTCTCCAGCCCCCAGTATCCCAACATAATTATACAGTAAAGAGCACTGTTTGTCAGTTAATTTGACCCTATTGAGGCTGGAATATTGACTCAGTGGTTAAGAGCACTGGCTGCTCTTGCAGAGAATCCGAGTTCAATTTCCCAGCACCCACATGGTGACTGATAACTTTCCCTAAGTCCAGTTCCAGGGGATCCGACATCCTCTTCTAGTCTCTGTGGGCATTGCACAATACGATTGCACTTACATACATGCAGGGAATACACTCAATAACATAAAATAGTAAAAAAATATTTTTAAAATTTGTCCCTATTATTAAATTTTGCAGTTTTTCATTTTTAAAGGAAAAAATTAAATAAATTTTACCATTACTCTTTAATTCTAAGGTGATCCCTGAAAGACTGATAGAGTACAGCTCTCCTGAAGTATGGAAACTGTGCATTCTATTTTAATTCAATTTCTTACTAACATTTATGGTGTTGAAGCTCTCCTTCCTCTGCCTTACTGCTGGAATGACTCCCTCTTCAGCACTAATTTGGGGCTTTGGTCTTTACTTCATGCTGTCTTCCCTTTCCTGCTACTAGTTCATTTCTGCCTCATTTAATGAAATGGCGGTGAGGTATGACTTCTCCAGCTGTGTTCTCAGATTTACAGAAGTGCTGCTCAGTTTCCTGCTCCATGGTGCTTAATTGCACATTCTATCACACACTTGTTGGACTGCCTACAAATGTGGTTGATTGCCAGATTTGTAAAAGAATTGTAAAATTTTTTGGTAAATTATTTAGATATAATTTCTCCTGGATTCTACCAGTGTTGCCAACTATATACTGAATATATTTTAGAAAGAAATAATTTTTGAAGAACAGCGAAATACAAATTATCTGAAATGTTCCTAATAATTTTAATTTAGAATTTTTTAAAGGTGGTATTAACTCAGAATACTTTGATTAGTAGACACTTTGAGTATCTGTAAAAAGTATTTTTCCCTATTATTTGTAAGTGAATTTTTCAAATTAATTGGGAAAATCATCCACATTATCTGATATTTTTAAATACACTTTTAAGATAGTTGGCAGCATTGTCTTTGATTCTCTTATTGGTTTGGGCTTACATAATGTCTTTTTCTTTTCTCTCTTTTTTTGTTTTGTTTTCTTTTGCTTCCTAAGGACATGATGATACAACGCCATGTACAATTTTGAAAAGTATGGATAGTTTTAGCTTTCTCCAACACCCAGTCCACCAGAGGAGCTTAGAGATTCTGCAGAGGTGCAAGGAAGAGAAGTACAGTAAGGCTGCAAATCCTGATAAATTCTGTATTACCATATCCATTTGGAAATGGAAATCAAGAGCATTCTCCTCCAGGGTGGCACGGAGACTGCATAGGCAACATGTCCTCCATAATCCTTCAGGCGGTCGGTCTTGGGATATTTCTCTTGAGACGTTAATGCTTTCCCTTAAAAGTGCTCCTACACCTGCTCTTTAGCTTGGGTGACTGTCCTGTTTGCTATGATCACTGAATTGTTAATTAGCCTACCATCACTGAATTGGTTTCCATTTTTGAATTTGAGGTAGCTGGTTCATCAGGGGAAAAAGAGCAGTGGGTTTTTTTTTTTGAAATGCGATTAAATTAAAGAGAACAATTTTCACATATATGAACTTAGGAGATTATTACTATAATCATGATATTTAGCATCCCCCAAAGTTTCCTTATACTTAGCTGATTGTCGTGATTGCTTATGCTTGAATTTCAGCATCAGCAATGCTGTAGTTGTGAATCATTGATCCATTTTAGTTGATTGCAGTCCTGCAATCTGACTTTCCTATGTCTGGTATTAGAACAGAGTCACCACATCAGTGTTTTGGCATGAAGAACAACAGAATCAGGATATTCTGTATGTATGTATGTGTATGTATATATATATATATATATATTCATATTCAGTGTTTGTTTCATTTTATGAAATTAGGTTGAAAGATGCCTTTGATCTCCATTTCCTCTCGTGATCTCTGTTAGTCTGCTTGAAATTTGGTTCTTTTGCATATTGTGTGATTACAGCTATAGGGCTGCTCCGATTGTGATACTAAATGAGTCCTTCAGAAAACTCAGTAATCTGTGTATATTGGATTAAATTTACTTATAATTTGCTTTGAGCTTTTATAAAATTACCATATATTTAGGTTAATACTTACATAGTTTTGTGATTGAAATGTGATAAAATTTTATTATTTAGTATTAGTGAAAGAATATGAGTGGAATCTTTATGTGTTTTTATAACTGTTGTGAGGTCTTTTTTCAATTTCTCTTGTTTATACTTTAGTGGCATAAGAAAATATATATTTTGAAAAACAGTAAAGTTTTTCTCATTGTAGAAAGAACAAAGGTAAGTATTTTATTTTAAAAAAGTTATCTTTAAATAAACGTTATTCTTAGTTATTATTGTTTCTAAAAGATAACACAGTTCCTCATTCTGATTGTTCATCTTGGTATTCTAAATCTTTTAAAATAGCACACAAATGTTTGGGGTTGGCTTAAATGTATCCTATTTAGTTCTTTTGCTCTGTTTGTTTCTTCTTGACTCAGGCTGACAACTCCAGCCTGACCATATTGTAGCTTATAGGTCTAGTTGCAGCATTAGCTGCATGCAGAAGTTGTTTATATGCAATTTTGTAATTTCTGGACATTAGTGCTTTCACTTATTTTCTGTCTTCATTCCATTTTCTCTTATAACAATAGCAACAGTTCATTTAGTTCAACTGAAACTTTAAAGAATTTTGATCTGAATGTTACAGAATCCTAACACACTACATGTGTGGGATGCATGTAAACTCATTAGAAAGAAATCATGTAATCCCACCACTTGGGAGGCAGAGACAGGCGCATCTCTGCGAGATCGAGGCCAACCTGGTCTACATAGTGAGTTCCAGGACAGCAGTAGCTACAGGGAGAAAGAAGCCGGCGGTGGGTGGGGGGGCGGTGGAGAAAGAAAGAAACATTATGTAGTATTGTTATTTTTTTTTTTTATGTCTCCGATCTGCAGGCCTCTCCCAGGTAAGTCGATCAGGCTCTCTGTGCCTTGACTCCCCCAGCCTCATTCACCTTCTCATCTCCCCTGCTGGTCCCTCCTCCTAGCCTGGGTCCTGTCCCATTCCTTGTCTTGGTGACCCAGACCCCTGTGGAACCACCACTGTTTCCTGATCCTTTGCATCCAGACCAACTCAGTTCCTTCTCAGGCCCTCAGGAGCATTCTGGGCCGGGCCCCACCCTCACCTCCCTCTACTTCCCTGGGCCTGAAAGACCCGCCAGCCTCTTTCCTGGATGCCTCTTTCCTGGATGCTGGGACTGACCTTTCCTCTTCCTGATCCTTTGCATCCAGACCAACCCAGCTCCTAAGTGCAGTCCCCAGGAGCCGTTGGGGCTGCTTCCCGACCCCATCTTCCTTTGCATCTCTGGGTGACATGGCCACCAGTTGCCCTAGAACAGCATCTTTCCTGAGCCTGGCTCCCAGGCCAGTCCAACCCCCAAATTCCTGGGGCCAAATTCTTTCCTGGAAGGATCCAGACTTTAGGAGAAAGCCTTAGAGCATCTGATCCTCATCTGACTTGGACCTCTGTGGGAACTCTTGAAGACAAAAACAATCTGGCCACTCCAATTGAAAATCAAAAGAGACAACAGGAAGCTTAGAGGATCCAACATTTCATGCCCAAAAAGTAAACCACAAAGACACATAAAGTTCACAAAAAGAAGCAGACCTAAGCTTGAAGGCTTGAGTCTCACACAAGAATCAGAAACTACAACAGAAAGTCACATGTCAAAATCACAGAGAAAAAATAATAACATGAAACCCCAAAATAACATATCCCCATCAAATACCAATAGTCCTCTAGAGGAGTACAATGAGAACCTCCTAGAGATAATGAAGGACATGGAACTCAAAAGAACAATTATAAACGTGATGAAAGAACTCAGTGAATTTAAAGAACATATAAACAAAGAAATCAAAGAACTGAAGGAAGATAGGGATAAACTTCTGAATGAATGCAGAAAAGAGTTAGAAATATTGAAGAATGCTCAGGCTGAAATGAAGAAGGGAGTGAAACAGTAAGCCAATTAGAAATGACAGGAGAAAGCCTCACCAATAGGATGAATGAAATGGAAAACAGAGTATCAAGTCTGGAAGATAAAGTGGAAAAACTAGACCCCTCAAGCAAAGATTATGAAAAATTTAGGAAATCACAAGAATGGAATATGCAGGAATTGCGTGACACCATAAAAAGACCAAACTTACGAATCATAGGCATACAGGAAGGAGAAGAATCCCAAGATAATGGCATGGACCAG